TAGTTTTAAGTTAGCTGACAGTTGTCAAATGTCATACAATCGTTAAAATAAAGTGCCTTTATTGTAAAATAATACTAAATGTAAAAATTATTTTATTATCTCAATACAAAAATACAAAAATATGAAATAGTTTCTCAACGCCAATATTTGAAAAGTTTATTGTACTGACCTTTTAATTTCGCCGGCAGTAAACTATAACTTAAATTCGGGCACGGACTCTACTGTAAAGTCCTCATAAAACATTTCCTTTACTTTCACTGTGAAAAACTGTCAATTTTCAAGATACATTTCGATTTATAACCTTTATAATTGTGTTTATAAAATGTAAAAATGTGACATTTGACAGTTTCCCCTGTTGTTTCATAGATGGCGCTCTATACAAATTTTTGATTTAAATCATTTTAAGATAATAATAAGTATTTGTCGTAGAAAAAGTATAGTATGCACCTCGTTTATAAACTTTTCTATACACTCATAAACTTAAATTAAATTCGTGTATAAAATGGCGTTTATCAAACTTGATACATAATATACTATTTGTGTTCATTAAGCAATGTTTCTTATCAAAATTATTTTCATTTAATACTTTTGTTACTGGGTCTACAAACAGGTTTGTAAAAATAAGGTCCTTTTTAAAAATTACAAGAACTATGGTTGAAATATTGACATAGGATTTTGTTATTAAATCTACAAAATGATATAATTATAAAGATCTATTCAATTAGTTAACAGATTACAGTTGGTTGTAAACTTAACATAAAGTTATGTGAACCTAGATTAACATAAAATCTGGTTAATATTTGGTTAAAATTAACAAAAATTTTTTTATTGTGTATGGATAAAGGATAAAACTTACCCATGCAAAATAAAAAATATTAATTTGAAATGATTTGAGATGAGATTACGTTGTCCATTTTAAGTATACTCTATAGAAATACACTTTATCAAAAGAAACCGCGAATACAAATAACTTCTTTTATAAATATATTTGGTAGACTTTTGTCCAAAATGACTGTTAAATTAATACTTATTTGAATCCTCTAGTATCAAAACCCCTTAAATCCGTTTTGATAAGAACGAGATACATGCATTAAAATATTCCTACCTATCATGGTGTGCATAGAAATGGTTGCAAAACCCATCAAATATTTATAAAAAATAACCATTTGAATGCACAAATTGATACGTGGTATTTTTTAATGCAATTTTCATCAAAACGGATTTAAGGGGTTTTGATAATAGGGGATTCATTTGTGTTCTTTCTATAAAATTTATAGGTTGCAATAGATGAGGTTATTTATTTTGTATGTTATGGTTTGTATAAAACAACTGCCTGAGGAATAATTTGAGTCAAAATATTAGAGTGGCTAATTTATTATTGTTGTTGTTGCTGGTAGTTGGCATCATTGTGCGGCGGTCGGCCACAGCAAGAGGAGACATCTCGACACCCAGTACCCGGAGGCTTTGCGTTTCGCCGCCATTGTTCGTTTCCTGTGGGTACCGCGCGCCCATACATAGTTGCCAGTCGTTTGTTCAGGACCCGCCGTCTCTTTCAACTCGCCGCCCGTTCGCTTATCTACAATTGCTACTGTTTCTTCATTGAGGTTTTTTTCTTCTCGGTCTTCTTCTTTTTCTGCCTTTTTCTTTCGATTCCTATTCTGAGGGCACTCGAAGACGACTCCTTCCTCTCTCACACGCTGCGGAACCCTCCACGCACGGCCACCTCCTTGTACTACAACCTTCGGTATTCAAATCGATTCAGAGATAAGCTCCGTACATACAAATGATACTTTTATGGGAACCAATATTAATAGATTGTTTTTAAATTTTATCCCTAAATATCCTTGATGAAAAATGCTAAATAAAAATTGAAAAATTTAATCTTCATCTCATAGCAATCTTCATCTCCTAAAGTTAATTTTTTTATCTGGACTGCGGCAACGTTACAAATTTAGGGTTTTGGTTGGTAAATACAGTTGTCAAGTTGGTCGCATTTATTGAAACAAACTAAGCTAGTTATAATCAGTTTTGTGTTATCTGCTGAAGTAGATGGATCGGCTATCCTTGAGTGGATAATATGAAACTCATCGCATAAATAAGCTGATAATTGCTGAATCCACAAAATCTACAATAGATTTGTAAAGATGCAAGGGATTTCCACAAAGGATGGTCGTAATATTGAAGGACTGAATATATTTTTGCAAACAGCCATGTGGTGCCTAGTCGGTTTTTTTTTTAACTTTTTTTTGCCTCGTAACTTCCGCTGCTAATATCGTGATTTTGTATGTGTAAAAGTGTAATAAAAGTGACTTCCGCTGCTGATATAAGCTATATTGAATAAACTCTAAAAAAGACAAAAATGATAGTGATGGACATAAGTGAATAAAAAAGACTATAAGTGAAAAAAGAATCTAAAAGTGACATAAATAATAATAATTAATAAACTATAAAACCAAGAAGAAAAGGAGAAGCTATAGGTTATCCTAGACTCGCTTGCTCCAGTATAATAATAATACAATACAGCTGGCTAATTCCCGGAAGGGAAAGGCCAATCAAACCAAAGAAGAAGAAGAAGAAGCTAGTTATAAATCTAATTGTGGTTATGTATAAATTATTGTAGGTTACATTGTGCAGTTGTCAAGTTGAGTTGTCGAAATTCGTAGTTAAAAATGCAATTAATTTGGCTTTGGTGGTGCTTGGATGAATCAAATAAAAAAGTAGTTAAATATAGGTTGCTTTACGGCCCAGAAGAGAAAGTATTCCCAGCGAATAATAATCTTCGTTTTGAAAAGAATTTATATAAAAGAAATTAAATTTTTTGTGAACGTAAATGTTGTCCAATGGTGAATAATGTGAAAATAATGTGTGATGTAATATTTATAAAACCAAATTCGTTACTTTTTTACTCCAAAAATGTCCATTGTGGCATTTGGCATAATTTCATCAAAATGAAGTTTTGCCCTCAAAAGGGCTTTTACATTCGAATTCTTTGCTATTATTTTTGGCATAATTATCTTTTTATTTATAATTGACAAGTAAATTATCAATAATAAATATTATTGTCAATTTGACAGTGTCAAAGTATTTAATTAAATTCTTTAGCAGAAGTGCCATTTTTAAATACTAAAAATACTAAGTCAAACTGGCATAAGCCACCAACCTAACGAAAAAACACGAGTCCAGATAAAAAAAATTAACTGTAGCAATCTTCATAAATAAAGTGATCCTAATCAAATCAATTTTTAAACTTAAACAGATCAAATTGTTTTCAAAAAATACTTTTTCTTCCTAAAATTCTACAATTGAAGGGGTCAATGCAAGAAGTGCCTTAGTCACAAACATAGATGACCGAAGGTCACAAATAGGTGATTCTGACATATTGCGGTTTGAAGTTTTATTTTTGATTATGAAATATTACACAAAATATCATGATGAAAATGTGTGTTGTATTGTATTCTTTGTGAAAAGTGGATTGGACTTCCATGATTAAAAAAGAAAAAACGTTCTGTTATATCAAAAAAAATATATATAAATAATTTGGGACTTGAGCACTTTTTGTGTTGAAATGTTTTTATTTTGAGGAATTTTTTTTATACTTAAAAAAAGGTTTATTATATTAAAATGGCGTAAAAAAATATATAAATTGTGAACAAAACCTAAGACTAAGACATAACTTAAAGCAAAACTAAGAATATAATAAGAAGGCTGGCTATTCATAAACAGCGTCGGCCTCTTGTAACTGATCAATTTCTTTATCAATGACATCATTTTGCTGGATTATACTTCCATTTTCAGACAAGGTTCGAGCAGAAAAACGGTAACTGGTATGTTTTAAGGTTCCACAATCTATTTTATTTTACTTTACTTACCTGCCATAGTTATGTTATCCATTGTTATGGACTAAGGCTCATGTTGCATTCCATCTGTCAAAATTATGACTTATTGAAAACAAGGTAAACTCCCATTGAAGTAAATGCAAACCAAGGCACTTAGACACATATTTCTGTCACTCTGCAAATACCACCTGAAAGCTGAAGTGAAACACTTTTAGATAGCGCCACAATGTTATTTTTATTGAAAATGTGACTTAGGCACTTATTGCAATGACCCCTTCAATTGGACCATAATTTTTTAGAATGTTGTTAATAATGCATTCATTTTTTTTCATGGTTCCATCATTATACTCTAATTTACCAATTTATAAATTCCAGCGACGTATAATAATAAACCACCCATTTAGGCATTATGAATGGGCCATTATAATTAATTCTGTATCTCATACAATATTTCATAATTACAGGCGGAGGCTACCTGCTCGATTTTACGTTCCTCAAACATTAACGATAGCGTTATGGAAAGAGGTTGTGGAAGATGGGTTTTATGACGTGAGTTGAGTTTTTTACAGAAGCAGGATATTACCTGATAGCTCGTCATTAAAGAGGGTCTTGGATTCTTTAGTTTCGTCTTAATTTTTAACCGGATAGTAATAGTATCTAATTATGTTTCTGCGAGTAACCAAATTAGTTTAAAAAGCATTAAACGTTTAAATTGATTATTAATTAGAGGCATCTGAAAAAGGCAAAAATCATAAAATATTCTCGTGCTCAGGATTTATAATCCGCAAGGAAGTCTTCAAGCACGTGGTAGCTACCAATGATAAATTATTATCACAGTTCAGATACAATGCGTATAAATTAATGAAATCATTTATGTAATGGCGTTAACATCGCCTCGTATTATGTTTTAATAGCGGATGCTGTTATTTATATCAACCTGTTCACTTTTTAATTCCTCTTTGTGAGGTTTGTGTTAAAAATGTATTTGTATATCAAATTATACGCATTAATCATTTCAGTTGTACGATATCTAGCACAGTTATGTTGGCTTCCTGTAGAATGAAATGTTTAAGGAAAACTTATATACCAATTAAAGACATACATACTTACCTCACCAAATATCTTCATTATTCTTGATATTAACTTTGTCTTTGTTTATTTCAGATAAGACATAGATTCGGGTGTTACGACGAAATCTCCTCTGGAAACGGGAGAAAAGTCCGCCATTGCAACTGGGTTAGATTCGTCAGAGTCGCGACCAGCTTCAATCCAGCAGTCAATTTTGTCGCGACCAAAGTCAGAGGTGAACCCGTTTACGAAGCGGTGAAACCCATACAGCCCGACACAGAATTGCTCGTCTACTATTTACCGGAAAGACCTGAGGAGCTGTTTTTCGTCAGAATGAGGGCGTCGCTATACAGGCAAACTATGGATTCAATATTGGAAGGTAAAGAATGAAAGTCCAACTGTTTTTTTTACTTGTATTTAATCTAAGTCGACAAACAACAAGAGAATGTTAGGAATCATTTTAGATCGATTCGCTAAATCAAAAATACTTTCTAAGGATTTTTAGCTAAATCAAACAAAGAATTCCATAAAAAATTATCAATTTCCTCTTGAAGAGTTATTACACGTTTTAGTTAAAATATTTGCATTGATATATCAAACAACACTGAAAAAAATATCTCTTAAAAGATATGAAAATCACTTTGATTTAAAAGATTTTCGCTTTTGAATAGGGCCAAGAGTTATGTTTCTTAATCTAAATCAGAAACTATCTTTACATATTTTTTTAAAAATTACTTGAGGGTAGAACCAAGAACCACAAATATATCTTCGGAAAATATTTCTCTATTACCCTATTGGGATAATTGTGATGTATCTTGAATGAATTGCGTAAATATAAATAGAAACATTCAAGAGATTTTGTATTTGATTTCTAGAGAACATACTTCTTCCACTAAGAACTTTTTTCTTTAAGCAATAAATACTCTTTATCTCCACGCGGTCTATAATTTAAACTTTATTGTTGTCAACACTCGATAAAGAAATACCTTGTTATGGCCTAGGCCGATACAAATTTTTATGAGGCAAGTAATTAGTTCGATTTTTTCTCTCTAGGGTTATTATTGACAAATTAATCCTTTTCTAAGAAATTAACGTACTAAATTGGTTTAATTTATTTAATTTTTAATAGAGCTCACTTACAACGTACAGTTTTATATCTGGGACCTAAACTCTATAATGCCCTACCTACTTATATAAGAAATATAAAGAATGAAAAAAAATATAAGGGGGCCATACAAATATTTTTAATACAAAACCCCAGTTTTTGCAACTCATTATTCTTATAGAAATAAACATATAAATATTTTATAATGACTGCGTTAGTCAAAATAATTTACTACTTCTCATGTATTGAATCTCAAATTTTATATTCTGCTTTGTACTTATCCCCTCCCCATTCAGAATTTTGACATCTCAAAATTATAATCTAATATAATATATTTTCTATTGTTTTTGTCAATCATAGGCTGCATATATCATCATTCTAAAAATGCACAATACAACCATATATGGTTAGGTGCTATATACTGATAAATTTGTATATTTTTTATAATTGTATCTTATACAGAATTTCCGAATAAATGAATTTGAATTTGAATTTATAATAAGCACTAATTTGTTTGTTTTACTGTTAATGTTTAATATTTTTCATTAAATTATTGTAAAATTAAATATGAATAATAAAACAAAAAGTGAGGTTAGGCAACCAAGAAAACTCACGATTCTTTTTCTACGATTTAAATTATCTTTAAGTTTTTATTATTAAATGTTAAACACAACTTAAACATTCCAAACTACCTATTTTTTAAATAAAAATCCAAACAAATTGAGATTAGATACCTACCTATTTATTAAACAATTAATTGAATTCAATGTAATAGCAAAAATCCATTTCTACTTAAATCATGTAGCTAGGTATTGTCAAACTATTACTGCTTCTAAAAGCAATAATAATGATTGTACATTTAATGTAATCTTTAGCTAATAAATAAATGAGATTCTAAAAAAGTGAGGTTAGGCCGCTTTGATGTTGAATTAAGTTGACCTATATAAAGTGCTTTGAAGATAAAATGTTGTATGCCATTCGGCCAATAAGTCCCTTTTTGTGCTTCGCTCAATTGTAGGCCTCCGCTACGCGTCGGCCTTCAAACCTTGAGCTTAGCACAAAAAGCTTTACTTCTTAACCTAATGACATAAATAACTATTTATGCTAAAATATTGTTTCTTGCACTGGATTTGTACTTCCCCCTCGAATCTAAATCAACCTGTTTTCGCTCAAGATAATATTTACGATAACTCAAGAGTTATTAAGGGTGGCTAGTTTTTAATTTTTATTTAATAATATACAGTGGGGGACTTATAAAAAAGTAATTTAGAATCGAAGGACCACACAGAAAATTATTTTTACCAAAACATGAATTATCTGAAAAAACGTTACAAGATTTGCGGTATTTAATTATTGAAAAAACGATGTTAATTCTTAATTTATTTAAAGAGTCAATTCAAAGTTGTAAAGCAGGCTTTGAGTTAAATAGGAACATTTCTGAACGGAATAGTTGCATAATAAACGGCAGTCTTAAATGCATTTTTTACACCTGCCAATAATTTATTAATTTTTTGTCGATTTGCAATTAAAATTCGCGCGATCGCGAACAATGCGTTCGCCGAAGCCCAAGCAAATAAAAAAGATTTTGCGTTGTCATGTCGATCGGTCGCGATATAATAAAGACCGTGATTTAATTTGATAGCTGTTGAGGCTCCCGCTAAAAAAGAAGATTCGGTTGCTAGCTCAAACAATAGCTAATTTTGTCGATGGATTTACAGCCTATTTTGCGCAGCTTAACGTTTTGATTGCCTTTAATTTATAACGGCGCGCACCGAAAAAGGCAGCACAATATAACAATATAAAATTCAAAATCGAATATAAATACGATTTATTACCACGCGCCAATCCTCAATGCACGACCAATTAAAATACTACAATAGAAAGCTCTTTACCTTTTAGGTGATGACCATTTCCACATCCCATTCAACTACTACTCGTTTCCAATGCCATATTAAATACCTAATAATGTTCTTAAATTGACTGAAGATCCAACAAAAGAACTCGAAATATTATTTATAAAAATAATTATTTTAATAACTTATTGTTCAACAAATTAGATATTTTTGTAACATTAGTAACAATTGTAACATTACAAAATCCGAAGGAAAGCGGTACCTTTATGTAAACTCCCCTGTTTTTATATTAATTACCTATCACGGTGCTGTTCTGAGAAGTGATTTTCAGACTTTCTGTAAAACTTTTTTTGTGATAAAACAGCACCGTGCAATGGTTTTCAGAAAAGTATAAGAACGGTCAAGAATAGTTAATTAATTTTAGTAAATTTCGGCAAATCAATCTGCTATCTTCACCAAAGGGTCCACTTCTACTTAAATCACTTCTAATTTTACTCTCTTAAGTATAATTTTCGTGAATCCAAAATACTCAGTGTTTTAATAATTTTAAGACTCATTTCTGCATATTGCATGCTATGGCATGCCTAAACCCCGGTTATGTCTATGGTACTAAAACACGAAATGTCCCCCGATGGTGTTACCCCGTGATATTTAATAAAACTTAATAAGTTTGACCTACACTTTTATTGTGTTTTGATCTTTCATAATTAAGTAGATATTACAGCTCAGGTTCCAGATTTTTAACCGCAATTAATTATTTTTTACAATGTTTTAAAAGTCTAAAACCTATCCCCCGTGACTGTTACTCTTTCTAGGTTAACTTATATGTTCAAATATCTGAGCCTCCTGGTAGTAAAGGCATACTAAAAATATCAGTTCACTAAGTAAATTAAACACATCCTAAGCAATCGAATCAAATATAAAATATTATTAAAAATTAAAAGAAATATTTTTTATTACCATTTATGTGTTATGTGTTACAAAAATTGATTCTATCCTCCGTGAATCTGTTATTGCTTTAAATTGTATGCAACGGATGGTGCTTTAATTTAAATAAGCAAAAACCTCTGTTTACGACATTATAGATGCATGTGATTCCTGAAGGTCAGATAGAATTTATATGCAGATGAGAGTGTTGCTGTTTTATAATTTAAAAGTTTCATTAATTTGCTTTTTAAAAATCTATCCACCTTGAAGTGTAATATCTCAGCAAGTAGTTTTTTTATAAATATTTTATGTATGTACAATTGTATTTTTTAAAAATATTAAGGTGTCAAAGATACAATAACTTATTTCAAATATACAAAGGGATGTTTAAAAAAACATACGAAATCCTAACCTCCGTGAAGCTATCTTTCGTGAAGAACTAATATTTAAAATGTATTATATATCTTAAAATTCTTGCTTTAGTGCAGAACCACTTATGTTATATTATTACTAAACCTGGTGGCTTCCCAAAAACCCCATTCTAGACTAACAGTGAAACAACAAAAAATAAAAAATATTCATTTTCTCTTGGGGGACATCTCAATATATTCACCCATATATACAAACAACAAGAAAATATATACAAACCATAAGTTTTGTCACGTAGTGACGTCATGCGCGCGACTGTCTAAAATTCGTTTGCCAACTGATCATACCTTGTTGTCTTAGTACCATGGACATAATCGGAAGGAATTTGCCTTTTTTATACAAAAAAGAATTTAAAGCTAATTTTATTTGTTAAAAATTTGACATCTGTCAACTGTCACCTTTTCCCGATTTATAATAAAGCTAACTTCAGCCCGTGACTTAAATAAAGCTTAAAAGCCTTTGTTTCTAACTTTAGCCCGTGACTAAAACGCCATAAAGTCACAGCTTATGTTCTATGGTCACAGCTCGTCAATGTAGGAGTACTTAGATAAAAGAGTTTTTTCTTCATTAGATAAATCTATATCTTTAGCTAAATTATTTAAATTGTGAAGAATAAGAAATAACATCTTTACACAATATAATATCTTTAATTTTTAACTTTTAGAAAAGAAATGAAAAATAAAAAGTAATTTATAAGTACAACCTTAAATCTTTATTACATTGTTAAAAAAACAGTTACTTTACACAATATCTTTATTTAATATTTAAATATTATTAAAATATAAATTGTTAAAAAATAATTATTTTACTTTATAATTTTTCGCTTTCTCATACTGGACATTTATTTTATGGTTTTATTGTGTGTTCCTATTTTAAAATACATTTTGCATCTAAAAAAGAGTTTTTATCATATAAATCTACATCTAGATAAATTATTTAAATTTTTTCCTATTTTCAATGCATTTTCGTTATACGTGTTCATTAAATTAGTAAACCATTGTTTATAATATTAAAAGATACCAAAAATACACGAAAAATATCTAAATAACTTATTTACCATATATAAAAATACTGTTAACAGAGAAACTTAACCAAAACTCATATTCGGCAAGTGCAGTGAACGTAATTTTGTCACTCAATGACGTCAGAGTATAAAGAGTTGTCTTAGTTACGTCCGTGTACTTATAAAGAAGCAGCCCTGTCAGTTTTCTTAAGTTTCAGCATTTTTTAAACGTCCGCTCGCCTAATATCTCAGCTCTGTGTTGTCATTTTTCATAATTCACCGCAGCCAAGGAATTATCGGCTTAGTTACGGTACGTGGTGCGAACCAAACACCGTAAATTAATCGACTTCGACAGTGTAACGAATGGAAAACACTTTGGGTCAATTCAAAACGGAATTTCAAACGTTTTTTCTTACAAAGTGTTTATTACAAGTTTTTAACAATGTTCAAAATATTTGGTGTAGTTTTAAGCTTTTATGTTTATAAATAAATAAATAAATAAACCATTTATTAGCATAAGCTATTAACATTACAAAAATGTCATATATAAAAAAAAATCACAAAGTCAAACTATCACAGTCAAAAGTTTTCTTTGACATGCTTAATTACAAGTTTATTAAATATTTTAATGTTATCACAATTTTTTATATCACTTGGAAGACTATTAAATAATATTAATCTATTAACAAAAACATTTTTTGTTGTTTGTACCCTGTCATACGTTTCAACATAAAAATCATTATTACTCCTAGTATTGTAACTATGGACGGTTTGTACCAAAATTAATTTGTCATTTAAATAAATAGGGAGAATTCCAATTTTAACTTTAAATATAAATAATAGTGTTTTAAAAACCACATATTGTTTTACACTTAACAAACTTAATACGTCAAGCATCATTTCGATTGGGGTATACCTGTTACATTTTATATAAAATAATTCTCAATGCTTTATTTTTAAGTTTTTGTAATTTTTGCATTTCATTATTATTTATACAGAACAATACAGTGGAACAATAATCAAAATGTGGAGCTATAATGGCTTTATATAACAATAATTTTACTTGCAACGATAAATTTTTCCCAATTCTACCAAGAAAATATACTTTTTTTTGAAATTGTATTTAACAAATATTCAACATGGTTTTTAAAGTTTAAATTCGAGTCTAATATAATACCCAGATATTTTATTTTATCTACTTTTTCAATTTTTATACACTCTTAGAAAAGACCTGGTATTTGCAATGAAAATTTAGTTCCCAGAACCAATTTTATTAGTGAAAATAGGCACAACAAAAAAATATGTTGTGGGAACTAATACAAATTTGTTTTTACAGTTTGTTGTCGGAACAGCCAATATTGGTAGCTCCAACCAACAAGTTTAAGTGCATCGAAATTAGTTTTTTTTTTATACAAATAATTGATATTTAATGCAATCACATTAGTCTGTCATTTTAGCAGCGTCTAAGTTGTAACAACTGCACTTGCTATTTATCGCAACAAACATTGTATCATGCAGGAATTTATTTTTTAATTGAAATTACATGAAAAAAGGTACATTTAAAGAATTTAATAGTTGATATAATATAAATTTGTTTGGTACTGTAACTAAGTTATATTTAATATTAAATGCTTGCATTAGTAGCAACAACAAATTGGTATTATTCCACAGTACATACCTGCTTAGTAAATATAACACTTTTTGTGTAAATATTATAAAAAATAGAGAAAGGAAATTCATGCCCGTTCGTTTTATAAATATTTATTATAAATTAAAAAATAACAATATAACTGAAAACACCAAATTTTGGTTTAAACATTATAAAAAAAATTAATAATTACTCTAAGAAAACATTTATAAATATTTTAACAATAAAACAAAAACGATTCTTTGGTAAATATACACAGTTAGGTACATTAAGATGAAATTTGACTATACTTCTTCAGTAAACCGTGATGTTTACGTGAAGTGCAAGCCTTTGTTTAACAACTTAACAATGATTCTTAGGTACAACGTAACATACTTGCATGATAACAGAGGTAAGCATTCGATAAATTCTCGAAATTCCGACGTGATGGAGACTTTTCGTGGGAACCATTGGATTCAGGAGGCCATTTTCAGTCGGAATGACATTTTCACATTTTTGGATTTTTTTTCGGACCCCAAAACTACAATAGTGTAATTAAAGGAGTGCAATAGTAATACCTAACCTTTAAAAACTGGAACCAATTCAGGTAAACCCCATGTTCCTAATAAATCTGCTACTTCAGTCCGCTCATCCATATTATTTGTTCGAGATATCTATAAGTAACCAACACATAAGAATATATTCTTATATATATGAATAGTTAAAAAGTATGTCGCCACTGAATTTACAGGGGCAAATGACTAATTGTAATAAACTAGTTTCTTACCACAAATACAAAAGAACAAACACCACCGAAGTCTGGACGCCGTGCAACACCGTTTGTTTACAGGTTAAAAGTAAAGCACGCGCCGGGCTGGACAAATCGCGCGCGAAATGCACAAAGTTTGCAGTTGCATTAACCTACAGAAACAACATCCCCAACTGACACTTTGTTTCACACCGCTGGTGTCTTAGCTGTGTGAAAAGTGACGCATAGTTTATACAACCGAACCGTTAGTTCCACGGACTAATTTCAGTCAGTTGAGAATGTTACTTAAATATTTGGTCCAACAAAAACATTTTACCGCCGAAATGATTTTTTTGAGATAATGTTGTCAATACTTCTAGCCAACACAAAGTTTCAGTTAAAATAACTTAATCGCCTTTTTGCAGTAAATAATACTCAACAACAAAACTAAATCTTTTCAGGTAATGATGCAAGCAGTTACACATATAAAGGTACTGATTACAAAAAACAAAAAATTTTATTTTCTGCAACAGTTTTACCCCAACGATAATAAGTTAGTTACAAATACCAGGTCTTTTCTAAGAGTGTATTATTAATTACCAGGTTTACTTTATTAAAATCAACATTCCCAATTTTACGACTAGATGCAATACACATATATTTGGTTTTACTTAGGTTAAGACACATATTATTATCACACAGCCATTTATAAATAATTTCTAATTCTAAATTTAGAATATTTACCGTATCAACAATATTATCACCACTAACATAAATCATAGTATCATCCGCAAACATACAAATATCACAATTTTTGGCATACTTTGACATATCATTTATATACAATAAAAACAACAGTGGTCCCAGAACAGTACCTTGAGGTACTCCATAATGGTTTTCAATTTTATCAGACATAACACTATTAAATTTAACAATTTGAGATCTACTAGTTAGATATGAACCAAACCATTTTAAAACAACGTCCTTAAAACCTATTTTATTAAGCTTTTTAAGCAACAATTCTCTATTTACAGTTTCGAAAGCTCGCTTAAAGTCTAAAAAACAGAAATAACAAATTTACCTTTATCAATTTCTTTAACAAATTTATCATAAACATCTAAAACAACAGATTCACAACAGTGATTTTTCCTAAATCCCGATTGGTTTGACACAATTACACTATTATTTACACAAAATTGATCAATCTGTTTTTTTACACATACTTCCATCACTTTTTCATAAGGTGCTACTGAGTTTATTGGTCGATATTCACTACACAAATTTGTTCCAGCAACTTTTGGTACAGGTACTACTATAGAAGTCTTCCATTATTACGTTAAAAATATCATATAACATATTTGAAATTCATTTAAATTCAAAAATATCTGCATTGTTTTCAGATTCACCCTTAGACCTGTCGATGTCGCTGCTGTCTCGGGCATTGTCGGCATCTCCGCCGTCGGCCGAAGACGAACGAAAGTCCGTATCGGGCGACAGTTCGGCGGCCAGTTCGCAGGGCGACATCCCCGAGCAACCCGTACCCACCCCCAGGGCCCGCCCCAGGGAACGAACACTTCTACCTTGCAGCGTTTGCAGTAAAGCTTTCGACAGACCCTCACTACTCAAAAGGCACATGAGAACACACACAGGTAAGTCAAATGTCGATGCTCCAAACCATGGAGCCTACACAAGGAGCCCGAACTTAATAGGGAAAATTGACAAAACCTGTCCACTAAATTGCACAAATTAAGTCTTTTTTTTCACCACCAGCGGCGCTGATTGTCGATGCGTCCATATGACGTGAAAATAGTATCGAAAATACTAGTAAGCAAGTAAGTTTTGACAATTGATTTGCAATATAGTTTTGACGTACGAATTGTTTTATTTATGGCTGTACCTGGTAGGTAGATGCTAATGAATAGGTTTTGGTTGTGAAATATAAGTGATTCTTTATAATCTGTGAAGTGATTTTACGACTCTGGAGAAGCAAAATTAGATTTCCAGGTTAGAAATACACCGCTATTTAATAATTTCCACCTTTATTTGTTTATATTGAACTTTTATTTTTTATTTAAGCCATCTACCTATAAAACTAAAAATAAATACCATATGTATTTAATATTCTGTTAGTTTTACACGCTTTAACACCACACGACATTCTTTTATAGAAAAAAAACACGTATTTATAAAAAACTGTACTATGCTCTACATCAGAAAGTCCAACATGAATTCCAATGTTAAATTTGATATAAATTTATTGTAAATTAAGACCTTTATACACAAATCCAGGTACATGGGTACATTGTTTTCAGAAAACGATAAACTGACAGTTGCATAACCTCAATTATTTGCACAATAATAAGTGGTAGGTAGTGGCGCCATCTCTTATCTTAGGAAGATTCTTGTTTACATGAAGTTCGGGCTCCTTGTGTAGGCTCCATGCTCCAAACACAAAACAACCTATTTTTTACACTGGACAACTTGTCTTCAGTACTGTTTTCTGGTATTTCTTGTAACAGAAATGCATTAATTTAGATACGTTGGTGATAGGACTAAATGATGGTAATAAATTATAATATCGACGTATCGGAATTTACATTAAAATGATTTAAAAGATTCATTTCGTATGTATCGGTAGCATAATTTAAAATGCGAGTAAAATCCGACGAAGAACTGTTAATTAATTAAGCTAATTAATAATGGACAATTAACACCATTAGGCTGACATCGACAATGACGAATTTTTGTGCATTAACATGAAAATAAAGTTCTTGCAGCAGATGACCAGTTTTTAATATTATTCCCCAGTTAATTGCCTAATTAAATCGATTAGAAGCTAAAAAATGTATCATATTGATTACACGTCAAATTTAATACTTCAATCTCACCAAAACGCCCGACGTTATCAAATCTGAATTAATCACAAACATGACTAGAATTCATAATTAAGATGTAAGCTAAGAGCTTAAGCCTAATCAATTTAGCACGTAATTGATAAATAAAGTCGATTTGCGATCGAATGCGTCAACCTTTTCCACATTGGTGATTTTTAATTTCAGGGGAAAAACCTCATGTTTGTATGGTGTGTGGCAAAGGATTCAGCACGTCGTCTTCCTTAAACACGCACAGAAGGATTCACAGCGGTGAGAAGCCCCACCAGTGCCCGGTGTGTCTGAAAAGGTTTACAGCCTCATCCAACCTCTACTACCACAGAATGACGCACATCAAAGTAAGTAACAGTTTTTAGAAGAATTTTACATTTCCAATTTACTATGAGAAATGAAACTTTCAAGATAATAAAGGATCAGTCTTCACAGTTGACTTCTTTATCATCGGAGTCCTATCTATCGACGAAATCGATCGAATTTAGCAAGTGTCTCGTGTAAAACGACATTCCGCAAGAGTAGAATTAGAATCTTCGCATTAATTATAATTGAGTCGTTACGATCAAACGATTTATTGATTTATAAGTCGATTGAATTTCGTATACGTATAATGTTTTATTGATGTTCGCTTGTTGATTGAAAAAACGTTACTGTATTGCGTAACGGAGATATCTCAAATAGTAGAGATATTTTTATATTTGCCCTTCTTAATATTCATACAGCGGTCAGCCAGGAATGCTATAAGGCTGAACTTGGTTAATAGAGATATGTAGGATTATTGGAAATAACTTCCTAGTAATTGAAAATGGTATCGGGCCGCATTTTTTAAGTACCTGCATATTTAGAACATTACAGAATACATTGTATAAATATAACCTTATCTGCTTGGATAATTGCTTGAAACGAATAGTTGAATAATTGAATGGAGATTAAGATTTTAGATCGTTCAAACAAAATCATTTTCTAAAGATGAGATACATATTTAATTAACATTTTAACAAAGTCATGTGTACGTTCTTAGAACATTTCTTTCGGGTGAAATCAAAATTCCCAACAATCAGATAAACCGAAATCTCATTTTAACGACATAAAAATCACCTTGCACTACGACCATATGCCTTATAAAAAACAGTGACTTATCCCTTAAGACAGCAGGTGCACGGGGTTCAGCCCTTAACTAAGCAGCGGAGAGCCCATCATGTGCCATGTGTTACATCATAATTACCATAATTCAGTTTTTTTACGAAGCATATGGATGGAACCGCGATTTTGATTGCAGGCAAAGACATCATTGTCTGTAAGTGGGCCGTTGAAAAGGGTAAATTAGTCTAAATAAGGTGGTAATCTGCTGTCGTAGGGGATGAGATCTGAAAGAATAACAGGGGCCAGGTACTACCAAGCTGATTATTAATTTTTCCAAAGATGCCATTTCGAACGTCAAACTTGAGTTGGATTCAGTCGGATTAATGGGAACTTTTAATAATAGCATTAGAGGTGTTTAGTGTCAGATGTGTTGAACGCCACTAAATGTGATTTGATCGAATTTTAGGTGTACGGATTTAGATAAACACTGCAAGTGCCTAATGTTCGTTTTGGTTGAGTGTCATATCAATTAGACAATATACATTCAATTCTACTTTGTTGAATGACAATAAGGATTAAAGTCACAGAGTGTGGGTTTTATGATACCTAAATTTATAATTATTGTTCTTCTTCTCCTTCCTATAACTCTTAAAATAGCAAAGGCGTTTCTGAAGCTTAAGGAAAGTAATAATGATAAATAATAATAATATAGTTTAATTCCCAACTCTCTTAAAATGAAATAGTCAAAATTCTACTATTTGAATAAACCAGCATTTTTTACTAACAAAATAGTCGATTTCACTTTTAAATAGTTATTTTTAACTACTTAAATAGTTAAAGTTTGACTAATTTAAGATTAGTCACCATCTTTGACTATTTCTGAGAGTTAAAAGTAACTTATTTCTTTAATCGTTTTCGGCCAACAACAAATTATTGTTTGAGTTAAATGACTCTTAAAAACAAACAAAGATGTAAAAAGTTTAGCCCAAAACAGCAACACAAAAAATATATTCAACTTTAAAATATTATGAACAATATTTACAGACAGATAAAACTGTTTTTATAAAAGTGACTGATGGCTCATTGGTTATGACAAGCGACAAACCCGAGTTCAAACCCCGGCTGGGTTAGAACTTTTTTAAATTTTAATCTACTTATTCAAAGTCAGCTTTTTCGCTATGACAATTAGTCAAATATGATTTATATTTAATTATTTTTGATTAATTCATTTTAAGAGAGAACAGGTTACACCGTAGTAGGACATTCTTATTATATAACAAAAAGGTTTACAAAAAAAAAAATGTGAACAAACTTTAACTTTAACTTTAAATCAGACATACATCATTAGAATTTTAGATAGCCCTGTGAATAGTTTTTAGTGAACAAAAGTCAATATCACAATTAGTTGATATTTTGAAGATGAGTACATTGGTACGAGCAATCTGACACTGGCGACTACTGGTTCTGGGAAACAAAAAATCAATTTGAACTAACAGGTCAAAAAAATCAATTTTATAATTTACAAGATTATACAAAAAAGATACTGATAAGATCTTCCTTCTGATGGATAAAGAAACAATATTCCATGCCGGGGATAGAATCCTTGAAATTTAAAAAATAAAAACTTTAAATAGCGTCTTTTTACATACTCTTTACATACTTTGATTTATGTGGCAAGCATAAATAGGTGAACAGACCACACTCGCGTATTCCAATTTACTTCGCACTGGAGTAAAATATATTAAATGCAATGTTCGGGAAGTGTTTCTTATTATAAAGCTCTAAAAGATGATATCATTGATATGAGCAGCAAACTGAAGTTGGAGATCTTATCTGATTCTTTCCATTTTTTTTGTCCTTTGCCATGTTACTTGCTTCTGTACAAGTTATAACTTCTTTTTAAAGTTCTTCCTCAATTGTTCTTATGTGTTATAAGGTCTGCCTTTTTACTGGTACCTCATAGATGATCTCCTATCCATTAACATCCACATTTTCTCATTATTCTTCCCATTTTTTCTTCTTCTGTAAGTCTGTGAAGTTCTTTATTTCTTATTGTGTTTGACCAGAGTCGCATATAATTCTCAAACATTTGTCGATAACGGGTTGAACTTTTCCTACCGTGTTTTTTATGTTCCTGCTTTAGTTAACAACTTTAAACTTTATTAACATGTTATAACTTCATAGGCTTGGTTTCACTATTAGCATTGGTTAGTTTTTCCAATTAAACAAAATTTTATAATACGAAGGAATACAAACGAGATTTGAGGTACCTTCTTTTAAGTTTGGAGGTATAATTTTGTACAAATTTGCACTTTTGTACTTAAAATCGTAGGAATAAGTGGTGGATGTGACGTTCAAGGAACGTCAAGTAGCCCTGGGTAACCTTTCTCTGTCCGTTGCTTGAAACGAATGACTGTTGGGACGGAGAACAAACGATCTGGCAATAGACGTAGACAGTACAAATAACGCAGACACGCATCAACGTGGCGTACGCGTGTGTTTGCGCTAGTCGAGAATGACGTTGTCTTCTCGGTACGTCTCGTGTCAATCCTCTTGTTACGCGACGAATGTAATCTGTTACTTATCGGGCGGTATCCTTGGAAACGCGAACTGTCACTCAACTCGTCAAACGTCACTACATTACGACACGACAAATGCTTCACGGCCTCCTTATACCAGAGCCTGAACATCGGCTACATGACACTCTCGCTCTAGGGTTCCCTTGATGAGAACGGGACTACTTATATGGGTTCAATTAGAACGATTTAAGTGTTTCGTTTCTCGCTAATTTGTTCTTTCTCAAGCGGACACTTTTTTCCACCGTCAATTCAATTAAATCTATTGAGGCATTGTTGATTAATCCGCACCAAATTAGGATGGCTAGTTCTTTTTTTCAATTAAACCGTCCAAAACATCGCATCCTTCTACGAAACTGCAAGTCATTAAGAATGCTATTTGGTCTAACACTTTCGTTAATTTACATTTTGGTTGTTAATTTTCCCACGTCCATTCAGCCAACCAATAAATAATACGACCAAGAGTTTATTGCACAAAGTCCAGGCTCAATATAAAAAACAATTACTTGGCGACCAATTACGTATGAACACTAAAATTTTTAGGTCTCCGATAAGAGCTAGATCGTAAAATCGAAATCGATGATACTTTCTTATAGAGCCATAAAAAGCCATATTTGGTTTTCTTTACTTAATAGCCAGACGATCCGAACTTTTTTTGACGCATATTTATTTCTTAATTACCTGAATCTCTTCTCTAATTTCCTAAAACAATTAATTAAGGTACGGAAGTGAGGGAGTGTTTAAAAATTCGTCACGCCATTTTTATTTGTTTACGTTTTTTCACACAAACCTCAGAGAACAGATGCCTTTCTACCTGCAGCAGTGATATATTACTGTGGTAATTGTATATCAAATAGACCCACCATAATTTCTATGGTTTTCGTTTTTTATGTTTGATATAATTTCTGTGTAGTTTTAAGTTAAAAATAATACAGCGTTTTCTTTTGTTATGGTATCGATTCATATCTGAAAATACCGGACGTCTTGTAGCCTCAAAGCCAACTTTGCGTGATGCCATATGGTATGGGGAACGTCTTTAGTGCAGTTCCCACACCGCAACCCTTCTTCCTTTGGAACCAACAAAGATTCTATAATAGTGAAAAACGCCACTTTGCAAACCTTATACGGATTGATATCGATCTTCAAATTGAGTGGATCCTAATGAATTTTTCTCAGGCATCACATTAAAAGCGAACTAATGTATGGGTCCATTTTAAACTGGCTTGCATTTAAAATAAACGATTAACATATCTTCATTTTGACAGGATTAATAATTCATATGCGAACGCTTTCGAGTTTATTAATTACAATAACTAATTACAATATGAATTTAATGTAAGGCCTTTAGATAAAATCTAGGGCGTGACGAAAACATCCAACTGATGGACGGCTCGTATTTTAAATAAATCGTGAACCAAAAAAAAATTTCGAAATGTTAACCAAACTTAAGTGCTCTCGAAAAAAATCTTCATCTCAATGCCTTAATTAGAAATAGCGAACTTTTCCCTCTAATACCTCGCGAATTCTAGGTACATCAGATAAATCCGTACGCCTGCTTGTTTGTAGTACTGAGGCCTGATTGACTGTCAACTATTTTTTCGCTACGATCACGAATACTTGCATGCAGTTTGTAGAATGGTTTAATGGTACACCACTAATAGAAGATTCGAAACGTAACTCAGTTT